GGCTGGCGCGGGGTGCCGGGTGCTGCTGCTCGGCGCCCTGCGCGGCCGGCACGGCGGCCGGCGGCATCTCGCCCGCTCGGATGACCATGGGCCCGCCGAAGGACAGCGCCGTCCGCCCGCCCACGTGGTGCGGCCCCGCCGCCGCTACGGCGCCCGGCGAGGCCCAACCCCCGCGCGCCCGCAGCGCCTTAAAGGGGCCGCGCTCACCGCCGGGCCCGGCCCCGCTCGGCTCCGCTCGGCCCCGCGGCACGGGGGGTGCGGCCCACGGAGACCCCCCGAACACCGGGGAAGGTCACCGGCCGCCTGCGTCCTTCCCGGAGGCTGCGAGGTCACCGTGCGGCGAGGGGGTCCCGGGGTGACCCCGAGCAGAGCCCGGGGCCGTGCGGCGGAGCGGGGAGCGGGGAAAGGGGAAAGGGGAAAGGGGAACGGGGAAAGGGGAGCAGGGAAAGGGGAAAGGGGAATGGGGAAAGGGGAAATGGGAAAGGGGAAAGGGAAAGGGGAAAGGGAAAGGGGAAAGGAGAAATGTTGGGAATATCTTTGATTGTAACAAATAATGGTTGGTGATAGGTAAAAAAAAAAAAGAAAAAAAAAAAAGAAAAAAAACCAAGCAAAAATAAAACTGAACAAAAACAACAACAAAAATCCCAACCAAAACAAAACAAAACTTCCAACAAAACAACTTTTCTTAAGAAAGGATGTTCTTTGATGTTTGGTCTTTGTAACTTTCAAGCCTAACCAACAAGAAGGGATATTGAATCCATGAAAAGCATAGTAGCTAACAAGCAAGCTGTAAGAGATGTCCATGTGTTGGAAAAACAAAGTTTAGGGCTCGACATGATTCAGTGATCTAAGACCTGGGGGAGGAAGTTAACACAGCTTGGGAGGAAGGATGTTTCCATTAAAAATGGACACAGAGTGCAGAATTTATGGGCCACAAGGACATTTGACAGGACTCCCAAGATAAGGAATAACTAACAAAACTAGTGATTGTGCTGAAATCAGCTCCAAATGGGTAGAAGGTAATTCTGGTAGGGGAGTCTGTGGCCATCAACCCACTGACCACTGATGCTAGAAACCAACTGACCCAAAAGAAGAGAAAAAGACTAATTAGCATGGGAAGCGGGGAATCATTAACCAATAGAGAACACTAATTAATAAGAGAACTATGTCATTTGTAGCCAATGCACACTAGTTCCTTTGTTTGCTAAAATGTACAAATTGTTAAAAGTTTTGACAATTGCCATACATGTCAGGTGGAACAATCCCTCATGTACCCAGTGCTAAATAATGTCAACTTTTTAACCAAACAAGCTGGTTGGAGAATTTATTTCCCCTTTCTCGGTGTCACTGTCTGGCCTTGAACACTTCCAAGAACGGGACAGCCACAGCTTCCTTGGCCAGCCTGTGCCAGGCCCTCCCCAGCCTGACAGGGAACAATTCCTTCCCAATATCCCATCTCACCCTGCCCCTGGCAGTGGGGAGCCATTCCTCCTTGGCCTGGCACTCCAGATATAATGATAATAATTATAATAATATAATAATGATCCCCCCATCCACCTGCAGGCCCCTGTGAGAAGGGGGGTGTCCCTCTGAGCGCTCCCTGTGCTGTGCAGGAGCTCTGGGGGAGTGAGGCAGGAGCAGGGACAGGGACAGAGATGCTTCTGGTTCGTGGCTGGAGGTCCTGCATTCCGGGCTAGGACAGTACCAGCCTGCAGATTTCAGTCTCTTTATTAAGAAAAAGGCATATTACAACAACTTCTAAAGTACAGCTCCATACTCTAGTCTCTGGGTGTTAACACATTCTGAAAAGCGCTTGGTTAAAAAGCAAAGTGGACAAGAATATCATCCTGGCAAAAAAAAAAAAAGGTGGCATGTAGCAAAATGAACATTCAAATAAAGCAGAGCAGTGTCAGACCTTTGGCATGTGTCCCTCTGCCTCCCCAGCACGAGGCACAGGCGTTTATTGTTCTCACTGAGCTTCACAAACTCAGCCAAGGACAATATTTTTTTGCTCCATCGAAACCACAGCTGCCCTGGGACCAGGGGAGCTGAGGGCAGAGGCGCTGCCCTCCTCATCTCTCCGAGCCCTCCCGGGGGTCCCGGCGCAGCTCTGGCCAGGCAGAGTTGATGTCCCCACCCCACTGGGGTGACAGTGACCTTGAGACATGCAGACAGGGCCGAGGGGGCTGCAGCTCAGTGCTGTACCCACTGCCCCTGGGCACAAAGGCTCTGCTGCTTCAGACATGCAAAGTTTGGGGCATTCCCAGGGCCTGATAGTCTAATTCCTGCGAGAATTGCAACAACAGGAAAGGGGAGCTTTCTTGGAAGCTGCAAGATGACTGAAATCTACCGGGAAGAGCCAGGAGGCATAACCACACCCTGGCCAGGGAGGACCAGGCACCGTTTGGGTGTGGGTTGGGTGCACCTCTCACACAGCAGCAGCTTCACCCCCCTGCCCCAAGGTGCGAGGAGAGGGAGGGTGACATGAAGGGCCGGGTGTGGTGGCAGTGTCACCCTGCGTGTCCTGCCCAGAGGCACCATCCCATCATGGGGCTGGGACAGCAGTGTCCCTGCAGGGCCAGGGCTGGCAAGGAGGGCACAGAGGCAGAAATGGGGCCCTGGGGAGCAAAGGGCAGCTCTCATGGCAAGGGGACACGGCGCTTTGATCCTTGTGCTTTAAGTGGCCCTGGTGTCTGGTGGCTCCTCCACAGCTGCTGTGCTCATGGATCCTGAGCTGGCCCAGCCGGCACTCAGCACTGCTGATCTTATCCACACATCTCAGATGCCTGCGTGAGGCAACCCAGCGGCGTAAGGGAGTTCTCCCCCGTAGTGCAAGAGGGTGACAAGAACGGGCGTGCAGCGAGGCGCCCGGCGTCACTGCAGCCAGGCTGGCTCATCAGGGCTGCTGCTCCAGGAAAGGCAGGGTGGCGTGGCTTCACTGGGCAGCAGGAGCCAGCTCACAGGGCTCTGAAAGGTTCACGTAACCCCCAACGATGGACGTCCCTTGTTGTGCTGCTGATTCACCTTCCTAGCGTGGAGAGCATGGGGAGAACTTGGGGAAAGCAGAGCAATTCACACTGCTGGCTCCAGCCACGGCAGGCACGTTTCTTGCTATGTCACTGCCACCTCTCCTGGGCACCCAGGAAAGAGCAGCCCTCAGTGCCTGCAGAGCACCCATCAGCTGGGCCACAAAGCTGGCTTGGCCTGCCACAAGGCGATTCACAGAGAGCTTCCCTTCCTGGGCCTGGCCCCAGTTCAGAGTGTCTGCACAGAGCCACGCAGCAGTGGGAAGGTTGGGAGCCTAGTGGGGAAGGACACGGCTGGGAGTGCTTAGATTAGCCCCAGCAAGCACATTCAGAAAATATGGCTTTTTAACAGGGTCAAGAAGAAGAACTTCCTGACTCATCTGCCAGGGTTAAATAAGTCCAGGGGAGCATGCATCCCCTTGCCAGGACTGGCTCTGCCACAGAGAGAACAGCGGGTGCATCTTCCCCCATCCACTGCTCACCTCACACTGCTGCAAGGTGCATTTGAGACGTCACTTTCTCAGATAGCATTAGGAAAAATAACTATGATAATTATAATAATAATAAGGAAAAGAGATATTAGCAAACCAAACACATCAAATCCATAAGGCTCTGCAGAGCTACAGAGCGAAAGGAGGTGCAGAGGAGAGGAGCCCGGCTGTCGGTCTGCAGACAGCCTCAGCACGTGGTGGTTCACACACACAAGACGTTGTTTAACAGCCGAGCGTTATTGCTGTGCTTCCATTTCCAGTCTAATCATTAAGCTTTACAAGCCAACGTCAAACACTGCCCGTTCCCTCGCCGCGGGCGGCCGTGCTCCTCACGCTGTGCCTCCACAGCACAGGTCGGAGCTGTGCGTGCCCTTTGGACTCCCGAGGAGCGCAGAGCACGGAATAAATGCACCCCCAGATCCCTGTCACACCTTACAGGCTAAGGGCGAGCTTACAGTGCGAGGGGGGAGCCCACGAGAGCCCCCCACTCCAGGAGGGGAGGGCAGGCCCTGCCTGGGCCCCCCATGGCTCTCAGGCTCACGGTGGCTCCAGCAGCCCGCTCAGTAAAAAATAGGAATACTGTCTTTTTGATTTTTTTTTGATCATTTTGATCTCTTTGATCGTTTTATATAAATACAAAGGTTAAAATAATTTATCTCAACATTATTTCTATTACAATCATACAGTGTTTTCCCTTCAAAACAAGTGCATGTATGTGTGTATATATATATATATATATATAAGTGTATATATAGTATCTCTAGAGCTTCCCTCCCCCCTAAGAAAAGCAGCAGTGACTGAAGCAGGTACAGCACGCAAGAGCTGATCCTTCCTGCTCCAAGGCAAATGTGCCCAAGGAAAAGTGCAGGGCTCACCCTGACAACTCATCTCCAAGCACACTCCATTGGCATGAAGGGGGAACTGGGGTGCTGGCTCTGCATCCCCCGGGAGCCCCCCTCGCTGCAGGCGGCTCTGCCCGCCCGCACCGGGAGCTCGGGGGAGGGACCGGCATGGGGGACTGCAACCACATCAGCTCCTTGGGCAAGCTGCTAATTACTGGTGGAGAGGAAAGGGCCCTGCAGCTCAGACAGGGTTGCTTAATTTACATACTAGGCACTACGGATGATGATTGCTAGGAAGGTATTTACACAGGAGAAGGATCATACTTCTCCCTCCACTTTTCAATGCTCAGTCATAAACACCGTGATCTCATGAAGGAGTTTGTAATCAAGATGCAACACACTGTGTCTATCAGGATTGTCTAGGAAGGATGGGAAGCAGCGGCGCACGCCGCAGCTGCAGCGACAGCCGAGCACACAGGGACAGGCATCGCCTCTTTCACCCTACCAGAGGAGACAAATCCGCAGTAGGACCGCTCAGAACCTGAGAGAAACAGCGATTTCCAGAGGCCAGTAGCCCCCCAGGGGCACAACACCCCCAGAACTGTGCCGCTGGGGCCCTGGGGCTGCTCCCCTCACAAATGTCCCCTGCCTGTCCCCGAGGGTGGGTGACAGCAGGGCCCCAGCACACCCGGCTCCCCCCGGAGCCTGCCTGGCTCGCTGCGCAGAGGGAAACAGGTGGGAAGCATTCTGCAGCCCTGCCGGGGAGCTCAGGGCTTTTCTCCCTCATGTTGCCTGCTCAGAGCCCGGCAGGGCGTTACAGAGCCCCCCGTGCTGCCCTGCACCTGCCGAGCCTGTGCGGGCACCCTGGGCACGGGGGGCTCCTGCCGGGGCTCCCTGCAGCCTGGCACCTGAGCGCTGGGGGCTCGTGGGCTCTGCACTGCCGAGGCAGCAGCTCCAGGTACCTCGGGGGCTGCAGACCCTTCCCACGAGAGCTTTCGTGCCCCAGGAGCTGCACACCTCGGCCTGGCTTCAAGTGCCTGAGCGCTGTCAGGGGGGCTCTGCCCAGCGTGGCTTTGCTGGGCTCTTCCCAAACCCAGGGCTGTGTTAGGGACCATGGGAGCAGCTGGGGAGTCCCAGCCCTCAGGGCTGCCCTGGGAGAGCACAAGGGATCATGTCCTCCAAATGGCTAGCCACATAACAGCCAAAGAAAAGGTGCAAAAGCCGCTAATTTCTGCCCTGCTAGTGCAGCTCATACGCTTTGGGGTTTGTTTTTACCAAAGAGCTGGTTGGCGACTGCTGCTGTCAATCTCATAAAGCATTTTAATAGAGTATATAAATATTGAACTACAAAAATAGACAGCTCTGACTGCACGGGCACACTGAGGGTGAGCGCGGGCAGGCCAAGCCTCACTAGTCTATCAGGGTGATGTCTTTCAAGAGGTTTCAAACTGAATTGGAAGGAAAGAGGGTCTGATGCCACCCCGCAGCTCCCTCCTGCCCACAGCAGCCGCGGAGGCAGGAGGGTCCTGCGGGAGGCTGTGCCCACCAGGCTGGCAGGCGCTGGGTCCCGGCTGGGCAGCCAGGCTGGCAGCCCACCTGCCAGGGTGAAACCTGCCCCTTGAGCTGCCCCGAGCAGCCCAGCTCCGGCAGCACCGAGCACAGTGACCTCTGCCCTGCCCGGCTGCCAGAGCCCTCCCTGCTGATGGTGTTTCACAACAGCCAGGGAGCGACTGTAAAGCTGACAGTTTGGCTGGAAATGGGGCAAGGCTGCCCCAGCGGGGCGGAGGCAGCTGTGTATGGCTGCTGTGCTGAGAAGGACGGGAGGCAATGGGGGAGGACTGGGGGGCTGCTCTGCCCCCAGCAGCAAGCCCAGACCTGGCCGTGGATGTGACTGAGAACCACAATGCTGGTGCCGAGGACAGCCCTGCGCAGGGGGCACGGCTGCAGCCCTGCTCCAGCAGCACATGGAGCCCGGCTGCAGCGGCCGAGCAGCCCGGCAGGACTGCCGATCCCGGCCCTTGTCCAGCTGCCTTGTCCGAGTCCTGCCTGCGATGAGGGGAAATCCGTGCTGGAGACAGCCAAACCGCTGCACGGGGAGCGCGGGACAGGGCCTGCCTAGCACTGTGCTTGTGGAAGGGGATGCCTCCGTCACCCACAGGCTCGGCCTCGTTCAGCTGCCTGCGTTCTGGAGAACCCTCCAGGCGCTGTGCCCGGTGCGGGATGGCCAGGGCTGGAGGCCGGGCCGTGTGCTGCACAGCCCGCAGCTGCGGGGCCCGGCTCCCAGCACCTAGGCCGTGGATGTGACTGAGAACCACAATGCTGGTGCCGAGGACAGCCCTGCGCAGGGGGCACGGCTGCAGCCCTGCTCCAGCAGCACATGGAGCCCGGCTGCAGCGGCCGAGCAGCCCGGCAGGACTGCCGATCCCGACCCTTGTCCAGCTGCCTTGTCCGAGTCCTGCGTGCGATGAGGGGAAATCCGTGCTGGAGACAGCCAAACCGCTGCACGGGGAGCGCGGGACAGGGCCTGCCTAGCACTGTGCTTGTGGAAGGGGATGCCTCCGTCACCCACAGGCTCGGCCTCGTTCAGCTGCCTGCGTTCTGGAGAACCCTCCAGGCGCTGTGCCCGGTGCGGGATGGCCAGGGCTGGAGGCCGGGCCGTGTGCTGCACAGCCCGCAGCTGCGGGGCCCGGCTCCCAGCACCGCGGAAAGCCAGGGAAAGCAGCCAGCACCCACGCTGAGGGCAGCAGCAGCAGCAGGAAAATCTCATTTTAAAATCCTTCCTCCTCTCTCTTTCTTTCTTTCTTTGTTTTTTCTTCGCAAGCAGGGCACAGGCGCTCGGACGCGTCCCCTTCACAGCCCGGGTGCTGGAAGCTCCCCCGTCCCGCAGCACTGCCGGCAGCATCCCTGGCTCAGACCTTTCGGGGCCCTCCCTGGCTGCCGGCGGGTGGGAGGCGCGGGCAGGGCTCCGCTTTCGGCCGCCCCTCCGTTCCACCGAGGGGATGGGGAAGGAGCCTCCGGCGCCCGGCCGGTGCCGCGGGGCTCAGGCCTCTCCGGCCGCTCGGGCCGCGCCGCGCCCTCGCCGCCTACTCCTGGGCCCGGGGGGCACCGCGGGCACCGTGGGCACCGGAGCCCTGCCTCTTGCCGGGCTCGCCCTTGGCCGACCTGGCCCTGGCCGCCGGCTCCTGCCGGGGGGGCCGCTGGCCGCGGG